CATTTATGTATACATTAGTGGATCTTGTAAGTGACATAGCACTAAAGAAAGTTATAAGGGACAATGTTGAAATACACAATTCTGGTCTAATTCAATCGTTTTCCCCTAATGGGCTGAATTTAATAAGAAACCAGTTTCTCTCTCTCTCTCTCCATCAGTAAATCCTAGGAACCAAATGTGTTGCCCTTCTGATAATTATCTAGATATTAATTGCATTGTAAGTATGCATGAGTGTGTGTACAGCTCATTTCTTGGTTTCCATTATATTATTTTTTCTTGCTTTTTTCTCACTTTTACTTTATATCTTGCTATATTTTGTAAGCTATGTCATTGGTAAATACCGAATACATGCAGTATATTGTGTCCATCTAATAAACCTGCTGTGGTGGGCAGATCTAAGATGGCACTCATTATTGCACCCTGGCTGTCATACACATAACCTTCTCTTAGTTATACCAACCAAATTTCCAACCTAGGTGCTTACTTTATGGATCTTTGCAAGATCTAATTAATGTCCCAAATAAGATGATTTAAGAAAGGGAGAGTGTCTGGGTGGGCCTGAGCTAATCAGGTACACCTTCAAAAGGGGCTGGACTTTAGCAAAAGAGATCAAAGCAATGAGAGGGGTCTGACCCAAGGGAATTCTCACGCGATGGCTTTAAAGATGGAAGGGCCCGGTCAAGGCACACACGCGTGGTGGTTTTCAGGTGGAGAGCAGCTTTGACTGACAGACTATGCGACTTCTGTTTACTACAAGCACTTGAAGCTTCCAGTGCCGGATGCAAGCCGACCACTGTAAGTGACCTTAGCCCTTACAACATATGAAAGAAGGATCCGGCACCACCAATGCCTGCACCTTTTCTTTTTCTTTTTGTGTACACTTGCCAAGGCAGGCAGTCCACCACTGAGCCACTCCGCCAGCCCTGCGCTCTTGATCTACAGAACTGGTAACAAACATTTGATGCCTCCAACTTTTTGCTTAACTTATTACAGACAGCAAACAGCAAACTAAAACAACTGAATCTTTTTGCTTTCACAAAGTTGCAACTATTATTTGTTAAATATTATTGATGTTAAATCACATTACACGCAGCAACAAACAAATCTCCAATAGTAGTATGATAGTACTTTTTTTTTTATATAAATACAACAAAGTGGAAAATGCTAGTTAATCCCAAACCCAGCATTAGCAAAAAAAAAAAAAAAGCAAACAAAACGTCACATTCCAGAAAAATGTTGGCAATAGACATGATACTGTCATAATTCTACAATATAGACAGGTCCATGAGACTCTGTATGGCAACTTAAATTCCACATTAGCGATGCAGTCAAAGCAACTTGTACCACCTGCATAGAACCTCTGCCGCCCTGTGCTCAAGCCGATGAGTCCTTTAAAGCTTGGCTGGTTGGTGTTCTTACAAAGACGTATAAAGCTGTACATGTGAAGCAGTAATATGAAATACATGGGGTGGTTACAGATATAAAATGATTTAAAAAATACTATGTATGAATTGAGTAACTGAGCTAAGGAAGTTCAACACATTATAAATAATGAAATATATGTGTGCTTTGCATAAAGAACACAGTGTTTTCTTTTCATAGCAAAGTACCATTAAAGCCTCGTGTTTTAGCTATTTGGCCTAATTGTTTTTCTCCTTAATTTTTTTTATTGGTTCCGACTTAAAACCATCAAGTCTGGTCAAATCAGCTCAGTCTAGCTGATGCAGAATCATATGCATCCAAAAAGCAGTCTTTGCAGAGATGCCTTACAAACCAGTCAGAACCCAGCACTTTCGTCAGGCAAGCTTTCATGGCAGCAGGGATGCGAAGTGAAGCGATCATTTCCACCCACCATACTGTAGTGCCAATGGAAAAATACATGGTTGCATGAACCTGATTTTGCCTCTCATAAGTCTCCGTTTCCCTCAAGTAGACTAGACTCTACGGGCAATTTCTCACGTATGCCACTCTTGCAGTCTCAATCCATTTTCAACTTACTCTACACATCTAAAATCTTCCACCACTACCCAAAGTCCAGATACACTGAAATCTCCATAGCACATGTGCTCCAAACTTCCACCTGACCCTAGATTCCCTGACCTGTGAATGGCAGTGTTTTTTTCATCTACATTTTAAGATTAACTTTGAAGAAAACTGAAGGAAAGCCTGGCCTCTGCCACCTCTCCTGTCCCATCTGCTTTTTTCTAAGTGAGTAAGATATACCTGGCAGATAGAATTTGTCCTCCATTCTCCTCCCCACTACTTCCAGATCCTCACTTCCTCATTTGGGTGGTTTGGATGCCTCTTGTGAAATGGACTGCAATATATTTCTGCTTTATTCAGAATATTTTATATTATTTATTATTTAAATTAGCCCTTTAACATGTTTTGTAAATAAGCTTCCTACCAAGGTAGCATGAAAAGAAAATACTACACAAAAGAGGTTATGATCTAAGGCATTAACCTTGTTAGAAAACTTTTGATAGTAATAAAATTTAAGGCATGTAGTTCCTTCTTTATGATTTAACATAAAACAGTTTGCGAATACAAGGCATTTAGTTGGATTTCTTTGTCATTTCCCCTTCCTTTCCCTCCTTACGTATTGCACTTGGTCACTGTAGCTGTCTGATACACTTTAGAATCGTTGTTGTATCATGTTAAACATTTCACACTATCAGGTGATACAGCACCTATAGTTTGGATTTAAAGGCACTTGTAGATAATATGAATTGTGGCTACCTTTGAGTAATTGATTTCCTTTAGCATTTTGGCATTTCAGACCACTTTAATCACAGCAATTCCAAAAATTTAAAATTGGACAAAAAATGTGAATTTTCTGTGCAGTGTGTACATTTCTACAAGCATCACCTACTTAAACTATATCAAGTAAGAAAAATATTATTTTGGTGGTTTTTAAAAATTTCTTATAAGTCAAAGGTATATTTCTGCCTTTTATGTAACGTGACAGAGGAATATGTTGGTCAAAGCAAGGCTTCTCGGTGTCTCAGCTTTAACGAGAGTGCCGGATCACAGGTCCTCACTTTCTATCAGGCCGGCGTTCAGTGTCAGATGAGATGGGTTGGCTTCTGGTTGGAACGCTGCTTTGATGTCTAGTCCCTGGTCTGAAAGGGCTGCATAGCGACTGGCTGAGGGCCGTACTTTTTTTGGCTTGGTGGTCTGTGGCTGCTGATGCCACTGGGCTGCAAAGGAAAAGAACAGATTAAGCTTTTTAACAAAGATGTCTTTGGAAAGCCCAATGTTTCAAGTAAGCACAGAATGTCTTCTGATATATATCAGGTACCTATTCTTTGGGAAGTTTGGATACTTTTGCACCTTTATTCATATGTTTCATATTTACCATCTACACAGGGTTAGTGGGACTGTAAGAGCTAGATCATAAAGACCAAGTGTGATTTATTTTAAAATAATACTGCAGCACTAGCACTCCTTTGAGATAGTCAATAAGCTTTCTAATGCTAACCGCTCTTCCTCTTTTAAAAACATATTTGTCTTCAGTCATTATCTTAGCTACGAATTCTTGATCAATATTTTAACAACTATAATAGGCCAGTAGAGAGGTTGTAATACAGGTTCTTTGTACTAAAGAACCCTCACAGTGTGCAAGTTTCAGTTAAGTAGGGTAAATTATTAAAATTAGTTGGTTTTAATCTTTTTGTTCTGGTGAGCTATTCCTTCATATGGTGTCCTCACTATTAATGAACTTTTTACAAAAACTGTCCTGTTGGTGAAGGCTTAGCCTATAAACTCAGTAGGGACAGGTTTTTTTAAAATTCAGGACAAATGTATACAAATATTGGAATACACAAACCTCAACAAAAATCTGTGCTGAGCTGCTAAAATCTATTAATGAAAAAGCACTTAAGCTGCAACAGTACGCATTCCAGCAATCAATGGCACAACACATCTAGAGTGCAATTAGGATAGTGTGAATAAGATTATAATACGGAAAGAACTGTTAATAACAAGTCATTTGCAGAACACAGTAATAAGACAACGTGAAAAACATCGATGCCTTTGTCTACTGTAACTCCTAAGGATGCGAATAAAGAAGCCACAACTTGACTAGCGTGTAAGAGAAAAATCAAACATGCTAGCTTGCTAATAATTTCCACTTCCTGAGTGATACTTGGTTTGTTCCTCCTGGTTGGGATTTCACTATTAATGTTGAGAAACCGTCTATAAATTTTAGAAAAGAGAAAAGAGCAATATGAATTTTTTTGACAAACAAATGCTATAGTTGTTTATAAGAAGTCATGTGATTTACTGTACAGATGTGTAATTTTTTTCATAATTCAATGAGCAAATGCAACAAAAGCACGCACTGTATACAATCCAGCCTGGCAGACAGGACACAATCCCTGCTTCGTTCTTGCAGACACAGTGTACCAGCAGACATCTTCTTTTGTGGCTCCCATGAATGAGCAGCAATGTACCATGATTATCCTGGTGCATGCTGGCAGAGAAAGGATAAAAGCCATTAGCACTTCTAAAATCTGAACAGTAGTAGCTTTTGATAGGAAGCATCAATTTTTAATTATGTCATTAGAAAACACAACTTTGCAAGTAGTAAATGGGCCATACTCATTCGGAGAGGCTGCTTGCGCCATACAGTTAATGGGAGAGAAGAGCAGCCTCAAAGAGGTGAGTAAATCTGCACCATTTCCTGCAGATGATCGCCTTTACAGAAGCCAACCATCCATCCTGTACCACTGAGACAAGTGAACTCATTCTTCTTTTTGATATAAACCACTTAAAGACTACTATAGGTTTAAGTCCCAGAATATGCTGGTATCAACATATCAAAATAGCTCCTTCTAAAAAACTTAAAACTACATTTGGATATAAGTGAATTTTTGGGTCTTTGTTCAATCAATAGCATGGCTTTTCTACACACACCTGATTACTTGCTACCATCTTATGTGTCCTTTATGCATCACAAGACTGAGTTAGTTAGGTTAGTTAAGTCACTGTCGCCTTACCTTCACTCGGTCAGTGCTGTGAGTGAGTGGACTCATTTTCTTTCTTCCAAAATATCTGCGGCGGTGGCACCCCCTGCAACCCGGCACTCCAGGCGCACCGGGTACCCATCAACAAACTCCTGTGGTTCTGCAGCTTCTCGATAAACACGGGGGGTTTGTGTGCTTCTTTAGCTAAGGACAAAACGTGATGGATTATCTTTCAACGCGGTACAAAAGCAGCACCACAAAGATTTCAGAAGCCTTTAGAACTATTGCCTGAATAGATCTTTTATTTTATGATGCCAGTTCTCACTTCAGGTGGTAAGATGTCAGTCCTCTCCACTAATTCTTTCACACGCTTCATTCCGCTCATTTATTCCTTCAATTAATTCAAGACTGATTGGCCCACACAGTCCCCTACCCATCTGCTCCACGGACTGCACGTCTGACCGGCTGCGGGAGGTTTCTAAGCCACGGCCAGCGTGGGCTTGGCTAGCTCACTACGTCCCGTGCACTCAGTCTACACCCACAGCGCCCGCTAGTGAGGCTGGGCAGCACAGGCATTTCTAGGGAAAGGATCCACTTCATCTCTTCACTGCCATCGGAAATGTTTGCTCTGAAGATTTTAACTGTCTTTTTTTTTTTTTTTTTTTTTGCTGTACCGGGACTTGAACTCAGGGCCTTCACCTTCAGCCACTCCCCCAACCCTTTTTGTGATGGTTTTTTCGAGATAGGGTCTCGTGAACTCTTTGCCTGGTCTGGCTTTGAACTGTGATCCTCCTGATCTCTGCCTCCTGAGTAGCTAGGATTACAGGAGTGAGCCACCAGCGTTCAGCTGTAACTGTTGTCTTGAGAAAGACGCCACAGGCTGTAAGTGGGGAAAGATACAGGAGAGGGATCTTCATTTAAATTTGACAGCTTTCAGTAGTTACCTATAAACTCGGAGAGTGCATCCTGTAAATTACAAATTCCAATTTGTTTTCTTTGAAGGGAGCTATAAAAAAGACTTTATTATCACCTTATAGGAAGGAAGTCATAAAAAGACAATCTTATTACTTTGTCTGAAAAAATCAGAACTGATAGTTAATAATGCTTTGAATATTGCCATCCAACAAGAAATTGTTTTCTTGGGTCAGTGATCAAAGCAATTTCAGAGAAAGAATAAAGTTTAATTCATTTCTGAGCTACCAACAATGAATTTGAGGATGTATGTCTTGCCCCACCACGACCCCCTCATCTGGAATGACAGAGATATCATAATAAGCAATTAAGAGCGACCTCAGAGATACAAGGTCTACCTGAAATTTTCAAGGTCTCTCTAATACCTTGACTTGTGTAGAGGATTGTATGTTTTTAAAAAAATTTTATGAGCTTACTAACCTAGTCTGTTTTGGGGGAGTGGGAACAGAAGCTCACTGCATATTCTTTCTGGGTCTTAGGGATTTTTTTTTTTGGCAGTACTAGAGTTTGAACTCAGGCTTGCTAGGTGGATACTACAACTTGAGCCAGGCTTCCACCTCTCTGGGATTTAGTTTTGAAAAGAACATAAGGTGTTTAAAATAAGCCTAATGTCATAACACACCAATAAGAACAATATGCACCATTTTGGAGCACTCCTGTGCAGGATACTCATTTTTATGATTTAATCCTTACAAAATGCTGTGACACATTAGGGTTCCCATGGAAAAATTGAGATGCTACGACATCATTTACCAAAGGTCAGAGAGCAGGTAAAGAATGGGTATTGGAAGTGAGATCTGATGGCAAGATCCAGATTCCAATTACTGTGCACTGCCATCTCTGAAAGAGGGGCCAAGGCATATGGAAATGCCTGCAGGACAGATACGATCCAATGTGTATTTAATAGGAGAGGAAAAAGCAGCTCTAGTTTGAGGTTAGGGGAATGAATGAAGCCAGTCCTAGTGTGTAGGAAGGAATATACTTGTAAAACATTAAAAAGCATGACTAAATGGATACTAAGCCCACATTGTTGTGCAAAAACATCTTGATGCAATTGATAGAATCATCATCCAGAGTTATCCACAGGAACTCCTGGATTTTATTCTCATTGCAACTCTTATTTCTTGATAAAGTTTGATGGCTCTCTGTGTGTGTGGGAGAGCACTAGAGATCAGTAGACCGTTTTCAGTCTGATTCTCTTACTACATGGGGTCCTAGAAACACTGAGGTCTCATAGGGCTGTTGTGAGAATGAGCAAGAAAATGTGTATGAGATGCTTTGCAAACAGAGGACTAAGAAGTGGGCATGATCTTTTGGTATGCGTCTTTAAAAAAAGAGATCAGATAATCAGAATCTTTACTTAGGCCTCACTCCTAAGGATGCTATAAACATTCCCATGAATGTATTTTCCTTTTAGGCTTCTATAGGACTTTGTATAACACTTTTACAAAACTTATCTATAGTATAATCAATGAAGAAGCAACTCTTATTTTGACTGTGACACTGGATATAGATGATGATGTTATTTAAAAAAATTTGAATTTTGGGCTGGGCGCAGTGGCTCACACCTGTAGCACTAGTTACTCAAGAGACAAGAGATCAGGAGAATTACAGTTTGAGGGCAGCCCTGGCAAAAAGTTACGGAGATCACCATCTCAACATACAAGCTGAACATGGTGGTACACACCTGTTATCTCAGTTACATAGGAGGCATGTAGATAGGAGGATCTTGGCCTGAGGCAGGGCTGAGCAAAAATTTGAGACCCTATCTGAAAAATAACTAAAGCAAAAAAGGGCTGGGGGTACGGCTCAAGAGTATCTAGCAAGAATACCCCGAGTTTGAATCCTAATACCACAAAAAAGTTTGAATTTTGAAATCACTGCACATTCTGTTAAAAATGAAGTCTGTATTTTGAACTTTACATACGTATAAGCATTCTTTAGTTCTTGCAGCCTGTGCTGCTGTTACTCTTTCCCTGTGTAATACTGGATCCACCACATACATGAGAAGTCGAATGACCCAGAAAAGCCAAAATCCTTTCCCCTCTTTGCCAGGCTAGTGGGAGAAAGGAAAAATAAATAATGAAGGCTACACTGAAGTAAGGAAAATTAGTATTTCTGATCTGCTAAGCCTTATATCACATCCTCATTGCACTTTGGCAATACAATCTCTTTAATCAGCAGCTTGATTTATAATGCAGAATCAGTTTCCATGTGTAAGATGACATTCACTGTGGCTATGAGGAAGGATCCAGAGGAGCTCACCAGCAACCACCAGCTCTAGGCTGAAAGAGTTCTGTCCTGCTCGATTGGTGGCTATACACGTGTAGATGCCGGCATCTCGAGACGTGACTGGCTCAATGATCAGAGAGTGCACCCCATTCTCACGAACGAGCATCTTGTGAGCGCTGTCGGGGCGGATGGGCTTTCCATCTAGTTGCCAGCTCAGATCTGGGGTGGGTAACCCACTGACCTACAGCAGAAAGGAAGGACAAGTAACTTTCTCAAACATTAAAACAATGAAATCACTGAAAGGTAAGGAGCAGGCATGAACTCCTCCTTTGGTAGCACTACAGATGGCTTTTCCAATCAGCTCATGCTACTCTTTTACTTAAAACTTCTCTATGGTTTCCTGAACATTTCTTACAGAATAACCTGGAGACAAGTGTAGTAGGGATTAACAAAAATTCTGTCATCGTCTTTCCTCACTTAGGACTATAAAAATTCCTGGGGCGATGTCAGTCCTGGGCTCTGAGCTCTTTGGAAAAAAGATGTACAACCATATTAACAATCACAAACCCTCGGCTGGCACACATTCATATTGCAGAGCTTCTCATCAAGGAGAGCCATTGCTGTGGAGACATCGGCTAATGCATCCGTTAGCACATAGAGCTATTATTATTATTTTATAATCCTTGAAGCTGAGTAACAGCAATATGAAATTACCCAGAAAACCATCTCAACAAATTAGCATCACAATGGAAACATCATAAAATTTTAAGATCGTGACAGTTGTGCTGGCCAGAGATAAATAAGAGCATGTTTAATTGTTGATAACACATAGGCTGTGGAGGTGGGGATGGTTGCCATCTGCCAGCTTTTTGCAGTGTTGCCCTTGACTTTCAGTAGGAGAAAGGCACTGTAGGAAGGCCTTTTCACCTTCCCTCTCTCCAACTTTGCTATTTGAAAACCAGCTTTGCACAAATCAGCCAGGGAACTCACAAATTCCATTCCTGCTGTGCAAGTTTATTCTTTCTATTACCTAAAAAATGTCTTCCACACACACAGCAAAATCTAGAGAACTTGAAAAAAAATCAATCCAGTGCCTTTAAGCTCTGGGTTAAAAGGATGGGATCTTGGAAGCAATAGCTAGGCAGTGCTTCTGAGACCACTAGGCCCTCTGTTGTCCCCTCTGTCCACTTGCTATCCCCCAGCTCTTCACAACCTCTGCTTTTCCTGTGTGGTGGTCACTAGAGAAGGGAGGCAGAGGGAGTAGACACAGTGGGTTGGGCTCCGGGCCTTTCCCACATTTAGAAGTAAAGTGGCCTTGTTCATCTGCATTCTGCTAGGTTAGGTCCTGGATAAGCAGGACCACCCCGGCAGTATGTACAGTTGGAGAGGTGCCCAGCACACACTGCACTCCCAGACCATCTATTCACAGTGGACCCGTTCCAGTGTTCAGGCAAAAGGAAACATCCTGTCCTTCAAAGCCCGGCTCCCAGTGAGCGTGCAAAGAAAGTGTGATCTCACCAGCCGAAGGTCATGACAAGCAGGTCACAACTTGAACAGATCTATGCTCTTGGTGCCGTGGAGTGGGGGAGAGAGAAGAGCATGCTTGTTACCAAAGACCTGGGAGGTTATTTTCCTTCAGATCTTGCATTCAGTGAAGGACAGAGTCTGGGAATGTAGCTCAGGTGTTAAGAGGGCAGGGCTTTTGAGGGAAAAGCAAGCTTCTGTTTTAGTATTTCGCTTATCAAGACTGGATTCCCTGCTGGCTTGCGCCTGTAATCCTGGCTACTTGGGAGGTTTAGATAGGGAGGATCACGGTTCCAGCCCAGCCTGGACAAATAGTTTGAGAGATCCCATTTCAGTGGAAAAACAGTGGGGTAGTGATGCGTACCTGCTTTCCAGCAATGGTGGGAAGCATAAAATGGGAGGATCGTGGTCCAGGATGGTCTGAGCAGAAAAAGACAGACCGTATCCCTAAAACAACCAGAACTAGAAGGGCTGGTGGAGTGGCTCAAGCTGTAGAGTATCTGCCTAGCAAGCATGAAGCCCCTGGCACAAAAAGAATTTATTTCTACTTAAGGCTTAGATACACTAACAATTTTTCTCTGAAGCAGATAACACTATCTGTTCATGAGGCAATATTCATATTTTCTTTATCCAGGTCAAATCGTCATAATGAAATTAAGCATAAGTTACTTCACTTCCCAATATTCTTTTAAAGGCAGAGATTCAGGGACATTTATGTCACTGTGCAGTGAAATAAAACTCCTATGGTTTCCTTCTTAAATATGATAAAAAAAAGGTATCACAGTATGGCGATACTTATTATGTAAGTTCGCTCTCTTGCATTTTCTTTATTTTAAAATAAATCCCAGACTTTCTGTAATTTTCTACTATGTAGCTCAATACATATTTCAAAAAATACAGATTTTTTTCTTATATAATCATGATTCCATTTTGAACCTGAAATGAATAAAAATCTCTTGGTATCATCTAATAATCTTTCTAAAATAAAATGTCCCAGCTGACTAGAAATGTTGCCTCACAGTTTGTCTTTATGAATTCCTCGTTTTGTAATATTTATTTAAAAAATTATTTTAGTTGGAGACAGGGTTCAAGTGGTGGAGCACCTACCCACAAGTTGAAACCCCCAGTACCTCAAAAAAACTTACTATAAATTGGCAAATAAAAAATTGTTAATTTATGCTTATTGTGTACATGAAACTTTAAAATATTCATACGTTATGCAATGGCTAAATTAGTAATCAGCATACGTACTACCTATCGTGCTCATCATTTTTGTGGTAAGGACACAAAATCTGTTCTCTTAGCAACTTCCAAGAATATACTATGTTGTTATTAACTACAGTCACCATGCCTTGTACAATTTTGTATCCTCTGAAAAACATTCCTCAATCCAGCTTCCTGCAGCCCTTAGTAACCACCACTTCCTTCTGTTTCGATGAGCTCAGTGATTTTTAGATTCTACACATAAGATGCAGAGTCTGTCCTCTGTGTCTAGATTATTTCACTTAACATAATATCCTCCAGGTTCACCCCACACCATCGTAAATGGCAGGATTTCCTTTGTTTTAAAGACTGAATAGTATTCTATTGCACATTTAGATTCATTCATCTGTTCATGGACACTTAGGTTGGTTCTGTGTGTTGGCTAGCATGAATAATGCAGCATGAATGTGGGAGTTCAGGTGGCTCTGACATTCTGGCTTCATTTTCTCTGGCTATATACCCAGCAATTGAATTGTTAGGTCATATAGCCATTCTCATGGATAAATTAGAGAATAAAACAAAGTAAATACACATATTGAAACTCAATGTGTGTACTTACACGGTAAAATGAACTCCATTGGAAAAAAAATATTTCAGAGAATACATATGCTCTTTCTGTACATCCCTAGAAGCTCAAACTTACTTTTGGAAAAAGCAAATAATGTCCAAATCCTCTCAGTGGCTTCTATTTATGTTCTGTAATCCCAGAGAGGACCAGCAGAGGGCGCCCAAATTATTTTTAAAAACTATCCATAGTTAAGAGCTAAACTTTAAGATCAGTAAGTAATGGAGCAAAAACCAAAATAAATGAAAATATTTCAGAGAATTTGATAAAAGCAGTATCATACACAATTTTGTATATAATTTTAAGAGTTCACCACCCAATGACCCTGGGTTAAAAAGCCCTAATTTATTGTATAACAGGTGAAAGAAGGATGTCACTCTAACTTCTCTTGGAATTAGAGAATGGGGGGAATAAAAGTCAGAGTAGATATATTGATATGATGCTTGTATGAAAAAAGAACGAAGATCAGCTAATTATTAGGACATATGGCAGATCCATTACACTTGTTACTCCAACAAAATGAAAAGGGACAAACAAAGCCTTCCAGTGACTTTTTGGAGTATGGTACATAAAGTTTGGAGTAAAGAGCATATCTGATGTAAATTTAAAAGTAAAGAGAAAGCATGATGCAGAACTGCACATAAACCTCACGCTCACTCTTTCTTTTTCTCGTGAGGTGGCATCATCTTGTACTTTACATAATTTCCCCAAAAGGAGCTGAAGACATGGCAGTGAGGGACACGTGAGGTAATAATATTTCAGGCTTTAGCAAACCCGTACCTTGCAGTCCATCCTGCAGAGTTTCCCTTCTTGAACAGTCAGGTCTCCAGGAGCCTGCAAGAAGTGAGGTCTGAAGAACCGCTCCTGAATGGGCTCGTTTTCATCTGCACTGTCCCTGGATCTAGAGCGAGGCCTTGAAGCAAGACACATGACAGGTAGATAAGTAGATGGTGGTTATTTCCAAGCTTTTGCTCATCTGTTTTCTTACAAAGCATGGAGTAAAAATACAATTTTCTTATGTGACACCTACTTGCAAGATTTACATTCAGCTGGGTGCCAGTGTCTCATACCTATAATCCTAGCCACCTGGGAGGCTGAGATCAAGGGGATCATGATTTGAGGCCATGCCAGGTAAACAGTTTGCAAGACCCTATCTCAAAAATAACCAGAGCAAAATGGACAAGAGGTGTGGCTCAAGTGGTAGAGGACCTGCTCTGCAAGCACAAAGCCCTGAGTTCAAACCCCAGTCCCACAAAAAAAAAAAAAGATTTACACCTAAAAATAAGAAAAGCAAAATTTTGTTTTCATTTGGAAGTTTATGATAAATTTAATAATCTATTAACTGCATACTAATGTAAACCACAAAGGAGAAATGAGGAAAAGATGTGCTACATATGAGTGTATTTTATCTTAAATAAATATTTTCGGGCTTTATGTTTAGAACTGGCAGCAGCCTACCACTGATCTCTTTCAACAGCAATTACTATTACCTTTCCACTTTGATTTTAATTTTGTACAACATGAAAAGTCCTTATCTTCATGAAAGTTAATATAATTCTAATGAAAATTCCTTTTTCATATTAACCAGGAAAACACATTATTAGGTGTTTTCTTTTGCTTTACTTATCCATGTGCCTTCAGGCATGATTTTCTGCTTTAAAATAAGAGTGTGCAACTCTCTGATTTGGGGCATACACTCAAGTATGTTGCCAGAAAAATACAATTTAAAGTAATTGTAGGGAGACGTAAGAAATGAGCAAGATGTGGAGTGCAAATCCTGTCAGTAATCACTAGCAAGGCAAGTTTAAAACCACAGCTAGAAGAAGCAACAGTGAAACAAATAAAAGGTTAATAGTAAGACTAGTAAGTATCAGCTTTTTTTTTTTTTAAAGTATCAGCGCTTTTAATACAAGTGACTGTTCTCCAAATATAGATAAAATTAATGATACAGTGCTTTGTAGGACACACTGACATATGGAAAAGCTTAGATGTATTAAAGATCATGAGAACAGCAGAAGAGAATAATACAAAACCACAGACCTAATACTGGATATGTGCTTATAGCACAGATATAGGTCACGGATCCTGTGAACAGACATTGCCTTGGTGAGTTTAGAATCAGATCTGCACATACTCATGTGCTTGCCCCTTTGGTGGTGAGCAAAGGGCTCTGGGTATCGAGTCACATGAAGCTGGCAGACATGCCACTTGTTTGATGCTTATTCAGTTCTGCGTATTCTCTATGAACCTAAAACGGTCTCCCTTTACCAAGGGTACAGTGTCTCCATGGCCTGTAATTTATAGCCAAGACTATTTTAGGATGCTCTGTCTAAAACATCTAAACAGAAACCCAGGTTGAGAGGCTGGTTGAGTTACTACATTCTTTAAGTGCAAATATATTACTAAGAAATAAGATCATTTGTCCATCCCTGCCTGCTGTTATCCTGACAGTATCCTTTGATAGACTCACAGCTACTAGGCATGGAAAGCACACTCTGTTATTAGAGATATTTGTTTAAGCATTTAAAATATGACAGATCTTGGACTGGAGGCATGGCTCAAGTGGCAGGCCATTTGCCCAGCAATCGTGAGGCCCTGAGTGCAAACCTTTGTACCACATACAAAACACAATCTTATCTACAAAATTTATGGTGTGGTGGTCTAATGTTTTGAACTAAGTGCTTAAAAAATACATTAACAAACCAGCTGATTGTAAGAAATTTAATGGCAATAGCTAGTAATGGTTAGCCAAAAAAGCTGTTGATTAAAGTTTGGTTTTGATGACTTGTGTGCCATTTGCTAGTATTTTCACGTTCAGATGCTATCTGCAAGCGTCAAGTCTTGTTTCTTCATATATAACATGTGCCCTACTTAAACTAACAGTGATGTATCTAACCATGCTTGGCACACTGGCAAATGTTAGTCCCTTCTCCTTTGTGAATTGCAAAGGGCATACCAAAGAACTCCACACTTTAAGTTTGTATTCAAGTCTGTCTCCTCGTTACATGCACTTCTGTGGTCTCACTAGGATTCCAGTAGTACTGAAGTTACAGTAAGAAATTAGCAAGTAGTAACACCTGTGGTAAGGAACATCTGAAATACCTTCTGGCATGAGGATGCCCTGAGGGAGAGCGGGGACTGCGGCCTCTTTGGTTGACAGCCTGTACCATTAGCCGTCCAGTGCAACTGACGCGGCCCTGTCAGAGACATCGGGAGAAGACATTGTTTACTGTGCAAAACTGTTAAGCGTTAAGCACCATCATGTCTATTGTTCTATTTGCCATAAGATGCTATTTTATAACAAGTTAGTGTGCCATTAGTAGTAAGATCTGCCCCTCTCAAAAAAGTACTTCCATCAGCAAAATGTATTCACTTGAACTCCTGTAACAAGGTCTTTCTCTGAACGTTAAATAAGCTTAACTGCTTTACCTAGGATGGTACTCACTGAATTCATTATACTCTGCTAAACAAGGTCTCCCTAACATGAAGCTGAGTTGTGAAATCTATACTCTTTTGATGATTCTGTTGTCATAATCAAACATCTACTGGATATGGCCAATTCTGAAATCAAAACTAGATGATTTTAGTTTTTTGTCAGATCTTCTTATATTTATTAAATCTTAGTGGTTTCCCTTCACCAAACCATGTACTGAGGGATGTCCGCATGAAAAAATGGGCATTATATATGACAAACACACAGCATAAAAGGAGCACATCAGATAAAGGACACTATGTTCTCCTGAGATCAACACAGGTGAGACTTAAAAACCAGCAGCAGTTAAATACTTAAAATATGTGGGTCATGTGACAGTGCCTAGCAAATTAAAAGCTAGATTTTATCTCTTAAATTTGCCAACTGAAAAATTTGGTAAGTGCTATTACATGGATAGATAAGCATCATACTTAGGGGACCCAGATGACCAGGATAAGTCATCCATCCATACTTTGGCGTTTTGTTTCAGCTCCTTCTCTTATTTCCTTTTCTTCACTATTATTAACAGAGTAGCAAAATGGATGATTTTCTCCTCTTCAAGGAGAATGAATAGATGTGATTCTAAATTCTGATGCTGGCCAAAAGGTAACAGTAAGAGAGGAAAAGTGAGCGGGTACATCGTTAATGATTAGACTTCGTGAATTCTAGCTCAGGACTCATGGGCAGCCTTCAGATGCACTTACATTAAAATAAAACTCTAATGTTGCCTTCCATTTCCTAGGAAGCCTAGGATTACAGTTCCTGCTCAGAGTGGGACAGCCATTCCTAGATTTATTGATAGTTGAGTTGTTGGGGTGAAGGAGTATGGAAAAAGTCCGAGTAGGTTAGTTGATCCAATGAAGATAATAAGTGATATTAATATTAAAGATCAGGTACTTCCTTTAGAGTTGTGCATTGTTATTATTTGTTTAGTGATTAGTTTGATTACTCATTGTTGGATGGAAGTTAGTCGGTCATTGATTAATCGGTTTGGAGCTGGGAGTATAATACTTGGGAAGAGGATTACTAAGGTGACAATAGGAAGTCCTATTATAGTAGGGGTAATGAAAGAGGTAAATAGATTTTCGTTCATTTTTTTTCTCAAGGGTTTTCTTGTTTTATAGATTCGATATTTTTGGGTGTAGGGTTGGGTGAAAAGTTGAATGTTTTTACTTTTAATTGGAAAATAACAAACAGGGTGAGAATTATGGAGGTAATTGTGGTAAATCATGTGGATGTGTCGAGTTGTGGCATATCGTTATGGAGAGCTGGCTCTCTGTCTTTAACTTAAAAGGTGAATGCTGCGGTAGCTTCATAATGTACTTAAAGTATAGATAGGGATCAGTTTTCAAAGTATTTCAGTGGGACTATTTCTAATACGATGGGTATAAAGCTGTGGTTTGAGCTGCAAATTTCGGAGCATTGGTCATAGTAAAGTCCTGGTCGTGTGGAGGTGAGGGTGGCTTGGTTGAGGCACCCTGGGATGGCGTCTGTTTTTAGGCCTAATGATGTTTCTTTTGGGGTGGGACTTGGCTTTGAACTCTGGGCTTCATACTTGCAAAGCAGGCACTCTTCTGCTTGAGCCACACCTCCAGTCCATTTTGCTCTGGTTATTTTGGAGATGGGGTCTTGCAAACTGTCTGCCCCGGCTGGCCTCAAACAGTGATCCTCTAAATCTCCACCTCTCAAGTAGTTAGGATTACAAGCATGAGCTACTGTGCCTGGCACTGGCTTCCATTTTCATTGCAAATTGCCAGTGGAGACAGATAAGAGAAGCTGAGGTATTCGATATGATTTGAAGAGTTGTTTTCCAACTGAGAGTGAGCTGAGATTGGGAGAGGCAACACAATAGGAAATCTTAGCAATAAATCCATAATAGAGTTTAGTGAAAGGCAGGAACCTAGGGCACAAGGCTCTCCAGGTCTCCCAAAAGCCAGGCTATTTGAGGTAAAAAAATCACCCAGAAAAGGTAAAGATATATGGGAATATAATATAGACCGGAGAAGAGCTCAGAATTACTAATCAGAAAGAGGTGGAACCATAGGAACAAACTGAACTAATCTTCTACCACTAGATATGTGTCTTTCTCTAGCACTCACAGTACTTGCTGTTGAGGTCATAGTTATAAACTGCCTTTCCTGAAAAGTTCCAAGGTGAGGTAAGTATAACATTGTGAAGGAGAATCATTTCCAAATTAAATTATTGTCTGAAGCACAGGCCAAATACTACAGTCTGTCATGCTGACCTCTTGGCAAACACTTGGGATTTGCTAAACTAGTTGGAAACAAGAAACAATGTCATGTAATCCCTCCAAACCTAGACCTGCTGTTGAAAATCTAGACATGACTTGCTTAGAAGACCACTATAAATTACCCAACTGATATGTTGTACTGAATGCTTTATCAAATGAGCACATCAAATCCATGATTCCTGTTTGAGGTTGAGCATAGGAAGTGTTTTTTTTGTATAAACACCTTCAAGAACACTGATATGGCTCCCTTATTACCCGCTTTGCAGACTCACTAACAGAATGCTTAGAATTTGGATCTCTTTCCTGTGGCGTACAAATTGTGGATCTCTGAGGCTCCTCAAGAGAAGTTAATATTAATCATTTACATGATTATAAAAATGTATAATGTAAGTTAAATTCAAACTTTAAACTTCAATTTAGGCAAGCAGCTATGGATTGCTACTAAAAGAAATGATCTAACCTAAGTCTGAGTTTTGACTTTTTATAAAACTTTTGTACATGCATACACACACACACACACACTCACACACACTCATATACATATATATCAAGGATGCTGTAAAGGCTAAATGTCATAACTTAATATGGTCTTCTGAATATTAAAGGGAAATGATATTATAAGTTATCATTAAGTTCTTCATAGCTGGTACCGAGTTACTATGGGCAGGGGATATTCTAGATGCATGATATGCATCAAGATGATTTTTGGGGGCCCCAGCCTAGACTTAGCCGACACCAATACAAAATCTCCGCGTCAATGTACTTTACTTGAGGTATGGCCTTACCTCCTTTTTAATTCAAGTGCCCTCAGGCTTTTTTTTTTTTGAGACGGGGTTTTGCTATGTAGTGCAGGTTGACCTGAGAACTCAGGATCCAACTGCCTCAGCCTCCCAAGGGCTGGGATTAAAGATATGTGCGGCCACACCCAGCTCCCCCCTCAGTACTCTCAATGCAGGGATGAGCCTCTATGCACTTGTATGGACATCCATAGCTTAGAATCACATTGGGCTTGTAAATCAGTCTGTTCCTTACAGTTGAGTGACTTTAGGCATGTCACTTAACCTCCCTAGCTAAGAATGTTCCTGTAAAGACAGGACCACATCATTAATGCCTGTGTTCTTATGATGATTAAATGAGTCAAAATGAGTAATGTACTTAGTACTGTGTTGTTCAAATGGTAAATGCTCAAATGGTAACATATCGTGACGCTGCATGTGGATACAATTATAACAACAGCCAGATGAATACGAGGCATCTCTTAGAATTGTTTTGTTTAACACAGTGATTTTTCTCTGCATATGTAACAGTTTTCTTTTTTCTTGATATTAGAATATAATTACTCCAAAGGAAGAAATATAGAAGGCAGAACATGCAGAAAGTAGATCAACTTTTAAACTTCTGCTGGTAGTGGCAAGGTGCCAAGCACTGTCACTTTCAGTGGGCTGGTTTATATGAAGATGGCTGCATTTGAGGTGAAGATGGAGATGCTCCCTTCAACTCTAACCATTTGACAATGCCAAGGGCAAACCCTACCTTCCCCCATCTCCAAAAACATAGGGGACACAAGGTGACAAATTACTAGGGAGAGAGGACACAGGGCAACATGGTTTTCAAGGTTTCCCCTGCTGCTGCATACAAGCAAATACTGCCACGAAGTATTTCCTTCACCTCCCAAATTTAAGAACTGAGAACAAGTTACAATTACAAATGGAACTTCTACAAGTCTTCACTTGTGCACATAAGAAGGGAGGTCATGGTATTCAGGAGGCAGAATTGTTAGTTTGACTAATATAGGGTTATTGATTAAATACATTACTAAGGAGCATTTTAGAATGATAAGAAGTTATATAATTTTAACATTTTTATTTGAAAAACAAATCTAGAATTCAATGAAGATACCTCCGATGTGCATTTACAGAAAGTTCAGATTTTTAAGTGGAAACGTCTCACTTAGGAGAATGCTCATACAGCGTTACCATTAGGCTAGATTGTAATCATATGAGCATGACAATTAACCTTAGTAGTCACGTAATTAGTAGGCTCTGATGCACATTACTGCTATTGTACTTGCTCTTAATTTTCTTATTTCTAGCTGCTGTAATAACCCATGAAGTATTAATAGTAGTGAATGTTTAAAGTGAACCTTGAAATAAGCCAGGAAACCCTAGAAGGCTCAAACAAAATACAATCAACAAGCTAACTTTTTATTTTAACTGAGCTCTTTGTTGCTTTTCTATTCTGAACAGAGCCACAGAGCTTAAAGCTATAGTAAAATTAAGTTTAAATGGTTAAAGTGATTATGTATTAAGCATCTAGCTTATAAATTCATGCCTCATGTAAGGCAAATTATTTACATAATCTGAAAAACATTTATATTTCATACTTTATGAATTTAATTTGTGGCACATGGGTCTTTATAAAAGTTCACCACTTGTATACATAATGCAGTTTCAAGACATCAAACTGCAAACAGCCATTCCAAAATCCAAGTGCAATACAAAGTAACTTAGCAACATAACCAAACAAAGGAAAACACTCATGTTTAGATTTAGCTGTGTCTTAAAGAAAGGATTAGAGTCTAAAATAAACTGTTTTTGCGATCCTCATTCTGGCATTATGTCTAGCGTAGCACTGCACAATTGCTCATTAGTTTGCTAAACTATGTGATCACTATGTGATAAATTTCTGGAGCTGTACACATCCAGTAAGATACACGGGCCAGTGTATATTCAGAGCTGTTGTGTTCTATCCCAAGAAGAACTTTGATGCACTCAACAATATCTAATGTGTGTCTTTTTTTTCAGTACTGGGGCTTGAACTAAGGGCCTACACCTTCAGCCACTCCACCAACCCTTTTTTGTGAAGGATTTTTTCGAGATAGGGTCTCATGGAACTATTTGCCTGGGCTGGCTTCGAACTGCGACCCTCCTGATCTCTGCCTCCTGGGTAGCTAGGATTATAGGTGTGAGCCATCAGCACCTGGCTCCAATGTGTTTCTTATTCCCAAAAGATTAGCCCAGGTGGAAAAATATCATACTCTATAAAATATTCTGTGGAGCATTCGTATTTTCCTCTCCTTACCCTTCTCTTGGCTCCTTTCTGTCACTGTTTTCCACTGTGCAGGATTTCACATCATATAGGCTACAATGTATTAGTTGTCTCTTTTTCATACCCAAATATTTTTAAAACTTGAAAAAATTTAAGGTAACTAAAAGGCATCAAGGAAGAAGGGAGTCAACTTCAGTTTTCTGTCAACTATTCTTTATACTTTGGGGATAAATGTAACTTGAGAGAGTTAGCTTTTACTTTTGATTTTTTCTGTGCCTACTTATGACATTTTCCTTTCAAATTATGTTTCAATTCACAAATTAAAAGAGTAACAAAATACTTCAACATATGATAACAGATGTTATAAGGTTGTGATTATGGCAGAGGTTAAACATTTCTATGCCGGCATTCCTAGCCATGAATGATAATTTATGTCAAGCTTTTGGTAGAAAAATGGCCTGCACTTGTTCTGGTTTAAATACCACTTCGTTTTCTTAATAAGCAATGTTTCTTAAAGTTCATTCTAGTATCTAGATGATAGCTTATAAAAACTACATCTGACATATTTGTACATACTTGCTATTGGAAAACACTGAACAACAACAAAAAAGAAGTTTTACTCTTGGAAATAAAATCTGCCAGGCAACATGATCAGAAACTTGGAACAACAATTATCACCAAGTAGCATAAATGTCAGAATTCTCTCACAGCAATGTTAATGGGGTATATACATCAACATGCCAAAGCCCGATCACTTGTAGGATCTCCTCCCGCTCTCTACATGAGTTTCCCCTCCTTTTGTATGTCTTTGGTTATTTAGATAGAAAAGAAAACTCTTAGCCCCACCTCTTGATTAAAATACTGAGTGTACTTAGAGACCTTTGGAATTTTAGGCATAAGAACTGGTCTGATTCCTGTGACCCTGGGTTCTTTGAATCTTTTGCTCCCCCTGGTAGACTCAGAACACTCATAATAATTACCCATTGCTTAAATTATAGGCAGAATGGAAGGAATATTCTGTTAGGATTACTTTTGGTTACTTGATATAAACCAGTTCGCTTCTAATAATTTTGTCTTTTCTCCCAAGGATAGAGGGCAAGAACCAGAGAACACTAATTGTGGGGCTTAGTCTGCGATTTGATAAAGCAGAAGTTCTGGGGTTTAGAATGGAGGCAGTGACCGACCAGTCTTCTAGGGTCTTCTCTTTGTTCTGAAGGTTCTGGGAATGGAGAACAGCTTCCCAGGTTCATGTGTGGTCAGAGTCAGCTGTGCACGGGTGTGGCCTTGTCCCTGGCTCATAGCTTCCTCCACTCAAGCCCACAGCTGTGGCAGCTGTGGCATAGCTACATCTGCTGCCTAAGTTCTTTCCCATGGGAGTGATAAAAGGGAACAGCCAGGAGGTCAGGAGACCACACACCAGTAGCATGGTGGGTGGAGATTCCATCCCAACTGACTTGCTCACTCTCTAACAGTGCTGTGGGGGTGGAGCACCTAGAACAGAACCAATCTCTGACATCCTGGTTCCACAGGTTGCTGCGAATCTTGCTGTTCTAAGGTGGGGTAATTAGTGTCTGTGAATGTATTGTAAGCATTCTACACACCAGGTAAACTGAGTGCTTTTAACATGTACTATTTAAGTCAATAGTATTATTCTCATTTTCAAAAGAAGAAACAGGTATAGAGAGGTGAAGTGACTGGCTAAAGATTACTAGGTAATAAGTGGCAGAGTAGAAGCCAGCTCAGATCTGGCAGGTGCCACAGCTCCTGCTCCTAACGCTGATGCTGCACAGTCTGGTTCGCCTTTTTTTTTTTAGGTTGCCTTCCCTCACTCCTTTCCTACATTTACTTACTTTTGCGGAGCAGGGAGCAGCTTTATACACAGGGTTCGGGGTAAGATCACATTGTTTATTTGTGTATTTGCAGTACTGGGGTCTGCACCCAGACCCTCCCATGTGATGCTAGGCAGGGGCTTTGCCACTTGGGCCACGCCTTCAGCCCCTCTTTTTTTAAATTTAGTTTTGAGATAGGGTCTCCCTAACTTTGCCCAGGCTGGCCTTGAACTCGTGATCCTCCTGCCTCTGCCTCCAAGTAGCTGGGATTGCAGGTGTGTGCCACCACACCTGGCTGCATTAGTGTTTTTCATTGCCACATTACAATTGCACACATTAATGATGTTCTAATCTATGCATAACAATGAGCAATGAGGTGAGCTGTAGCAGCCCTCCTTCTACAGTTTGTCAGAGGGTTTATTGAGTGATCTGATGCTGGCCAGATGTCTTAGTCTCTGCCTCTGCCTTTGGCCATGAGCACTGAACCCTTCCTCTTGTAGAACTTTTTTTTTATGTACAGACACATTAGAAGAAGACTGGCAGCAGGTTTACAATTGCAGTTTTTTTGTTCTATAAGGTGGCTTATTTAAGACATGCTAGGAAAGATGGCTTGAGCTTAGTAGCAGGAACCCAGTTCTAGTCAGAGATTATTCTATCCTGTAAGAAACCCCAGCCTTTCTAGAAGAAAAGAGGAATGAAGATCAAACATAAAAACTTGGATTTTGTTGAGTTCACTATCATTTTTTAAAAACAGGCAGAAAACTAAAAGCTGAAATATGCTAATAGTCAAGTAAATGCACTGAAAATATAATAAAAAGGGCAAGTTCTACTTTTGTTCTTTCCTTCAGTTACATCAAACATGAACATAAGCCTTAAAATGTAACTTCTTAACAGAGTTTATGGTTTCGATTCCTTTTCAGGGTGATGGTCATGTATACATTGATTACAAAATTAGAACCTCAAGAGTGCATTAAAGAACTGTATGGGGTTGCATACCTGTGATCCCAGCTACTCAGGAAGGAGAGATCTGGAGGATCACTGCAGTTCCAGGTAAGCCTGAGCAACAATTTAGTGAGACCCCGTATCAACCGATAAGCTGAATGTGGTGGTGAGCATCAGTAATGCCAGTTATGCAGAAGGCATGGGTAGGAAAATTGTGGCGCAAAGCCAGCCTTGGGCAAAAAGTGTGAGATCCTAACTGAAAAACAACTCAAACAAAAATGGGTCAAGCGGTAGAGTGCCTGCCTAGCAAGTGTGAAGCCCTGAATTCAAATCCCAGTAGCACTTTAAAAAATGCATTAATATAGAAACTTCTCATTGATAATGAATAGTTTTCTCTGCTGTCATAACCTGATTACCTGAATAATCAGTGTCCTTCTAGCATTAATATTATTACAGAAAAATATCTTTATTTGAAAGAGGGATATTACAATAAGATAAACCTTGCATAGACTTTTAAAAGCTTGTAAGTTTTAAAAAAATATCATTTTTTTCCCATCCAGATACTGACCAGACCTGACCCTATTGTAGTTTCTATGTTCAGGGTGGTATGACCTTATACTAAAATATCATTTTCTAATACAATACTGTTTAAAAGAAGTAATGAAATATGGAATGATATAAATAGATCAGAGATTTTTTAAAAGATGACTTCTAGACAGTTTTCATTAGCTACATCATAAAATCATCAATTTTAAATTAACTTCCTTTTTACAGTAGTGGGGTTTGAACTTGAAGACTTGTACTTGCTAGGCAAATTTTAGTTTTCTTAAAAAAGCAGTATGAATTATACAACATTGGTAGATTTATGAAAATTACCCTGACACACATTGAGCACATTAAGCAAAATAACCTCATAGTCATTTTTGCATCCTTTGTACCCACTATAGTGCCTAAAATATGTAAGATACACAATAAAAAGACTTTGCAGGCTTGAATTGGGAACAGGACACCCAGTAGCCTTCTATTAGATTCTAAGAAGGCAGTTGATTTTTTGACCCCAAGTCTAAGGTCAAATACAAGATAAAAAAATTTGATACAAACAAATCCTGAATGCTATATACATAGGCACTATCAAAATTATGATCTGTCTGGTGAGGGTGTCTGTGTGTATTTGTTTTTCAATATATTTTTTGAGTTTTTCTACTATACCCTATACTATGCCACATACTCTGTATCTCTTTCACTTTATTTTCTTATAGAACCTATCCTGCCTGAAATTATGCAATTTATTTGTTTATAGACTTATTTTCTATTTCAGGACTTTGTCCTGACCACCACTGCAACCCCATGACCTCCATAAGAGGCCCTTGATAATTTTATAGAAGAAATGCACATCTGTACTAGAATCACTCCTCTAGAAGAATTCCTGATGGAATAAATATGAGACTAGGAATTTTTCTATCATTTGAAAGCAAGATAGATGTAGAATATGAAAAACAATTTTAGAAGTCAAAGAAGAGTAACTTCACCTTGTAATTAAACCACTCCTCTGTGCAACCAAATACCTGTAAGCATTAGACACAGAAAAGAGCCCAGACTTATTCCCTTCTCTACCTGAGGGTTGGCCGCCATAATTGTGTAATTCCCATCGTCATCTAGGGTGGCAGCTACAGTATGGAGAGAACAGGTCCCGTCCAGATCTCTTTGAATGCTGTAGTGATCACTCTTGGGAGAAATCTGCTTTCCATCTTTAAACCAATAGATCTGTGGAATGAAGCAGAGTGAGGGTTACAAATGTACTCTTACTCTTTTTGGAGGACTGGTAATTACATTGGGGTCTACAGTGTTGATATCAGTTTTCACGTTAGAGTGTTAAACTGAGCACTAGAACAGGACACTGATTGTTGAGTGAAATAAAACAGGTAGCAAACAAATTCAATTCTACTTTGTTTCTAAAGTTATACACCTCTTTTTTGTTCTAGAGAATATGTGTAGGAAGACTATTATTTTTGGTTTTTTAAAGACATGGCATTTGCATATATGTACACACACAATTTTGATGGTGATTATTTGTATGAAATGGCATTTTTCTTTTTGCTTCTTTCTTTCTTTAAATGTATTGGCAACTAAAATGTGTTACTTATATAGTAAATATAAGAAGGTTGTTTTGGAGAACCAGACAAACTCCAAACTCTAATCGTTCTACTGAATTGTGTTAAGCAAATACAAAAGTGGCTGGGAGGGAGGAAGCAGTTAGAGGTTGGTGATGGCTGGAATTCTATTGCTTTAATTCTGGGCTAAAAGCATCTAATGAAAGGCCAAGAGCATGCCAACTCTCCTGGTGTGTTAAAGAAGGCACAGTATTATTGAAAATCACAATAATTTTCAGATATATCACTTAAGTCATCGGAAAATTAAATGTAGAAAATAATTAAAGCAAAAATGAATCTTGATTAAATAAAAAATTTAAAAGGACTTGGGTCCAACTATCTTTTCTATATTCCTCCTTCCTTTCCTTAACTTTAAACAAAACCACTGTTCCAAGGGTGTCTGGCAGTTTATTATTTTGGTTTAGGTTGGGAACTACACAGTGTAGGATGGGCCCACTATAACCAATCACAGTGTAGCAGCCCTAATCTGCTGAGATGCTGAAGCAAGTCTGCATCAACCCATCTCCAGACTTACCACGACAAAATAGATCTCCTTTGTAAAAACGCATTTTTTGTTCCTTGCAATCCAAAGCATTCCTAATTGTTTCCTGACAAAAGAAACCTACTTTACACTCTTCTTTTCATTTAAATTAGGGGAAAGAATAATCCTGCTTATTGCTTTGCTGGTCTAGTAAACAGTTATTCTAGTTCTCCTTTTAATGACAGGAGAGCGTCCATCTCCAGCCCATGCATATGTTTGCAGCAAGGAAAGGCTCCTATCCAGGCCTGCCTAATCCTCCACAGTATCAGTTTTTTAGTGTTTTGAGACAGGGTGTTGCTACACAGCATAGGCTGGTGTCGAACTTGGGATCCTCCTGCCTCAGCCTCCCAAGTGTTGGGATTACAGAGGTGCATCACCATGCCTGGTTCAGAAATTGTGATTATTTTTTCTAAACATTATTCCTCACCCCACCTCCATTTATAAAGTATAGGGAGCCTTGACTTTGTAGATTAAAAATCTAAAATTTTTATCACTCATGGTGAACATTACTTCTCTTTATGGTATAGATCACTAGGTTGATGTCCAAGTCACCAAGTCTGTGGCCTTGGGAGGTCTGTGGCCTCAGAGCTGTCTTCAGTCGTTTGAAATTTGAGAGGAACAATGAAAGGCAAATGATATCGGTGTGTGAAAAGCTCCTTGTTTTTTATTCAACTGCTGTTATTAGGGGACTCTCTTACTCTATTGTGTTCTACCCTACTCTACCGTATCCTACCCTATCCTACCCTACCCTACTTTACCCTACCTACCCTACCCACCCACTCTACTCTTCTACTCCCATTCCATTCCATTCTTCAAACCTCAGATCTACTTCCCTTCCCTTCCAAATCTTTCTGGTTTCTAGGCCCATAAAGATGGCCCTGTATTTAGAGTACTTAAGATATTTCATATCCTGAGTGTTGAAAAAGTTAGTTTCTAACTTTCCTTTCCACCATATCTACTGTACTTTACAAGGTAAATTCCTCAGAAACAACACCAGAATTCATTGGCTGGAAACTTATTTTTTTCGTGGTGCTGGGGTTTGAACCCAGGGCTTTGTACTTGTGAGGCAGTGCTATATTACTTGAGACAGGCCTCCAGCACTTTTTACTCTGGTTATTTTGGAGATAATGTCTTGCTTTTGCCCAGGGTGGTCAGACTGTGATCCTCCTATTTTAAGCTTCTCATTGTTGCTGAGATGACAGGTACATGCCACCACATCTAGCTTTTCTCCATTGAGATGGGGTCTCCTTCTTTGCTCAAATTGTCCTGGAACTTCAATCCTCCTGATCTCAGCCTCTCAAGTAGCTAGGATTACAGGCATGAGCCGTGGGCACCTTGCTCATTGGATGAAAACTTGTTCCCCAGTGCAAAAGAGTTGAAAGGTGAAACTTTTCGGAGGTGACTGGGTAATGATTAATCTACACATGGCTGGAATAATTATCTCTGGCATAACTCTGTTATAAAAATGAGCTCTCTAGCACATATGCTTTGTCTCCCCATGTGGTAACCTTCTGCTTTCTGTCATGAGTTGAAGGAGCACAAGGCTCTCACTGGCACCATGCTCTTGGACTTCCCAGCCTCTGGAACCTTGAATCCAAATGAACTTTCCTTATAAATTACCCAGTCTTAGGCATTTTGTAATAGCAACAGAAAATGGACTAAGACAACTCTTAAAAAGTCATGTTTTAGCTTACCTTTGGCTTTGGATTCCCAGCCACTCTACATGTGAAAGTCACTGGCATTCCTTCAAAGATCTTGTAATGTTTCAGCTTCATCTCAAAGAATGGTGCCACTCCATTTTCCATGGGCATATCCCCATAGTGAATGTCATCACCCGATTCGTCCACAGGGGACCTTTCTAGCCTATACTCAATTTCGCTTATGAGTCTCTGTTCACAGCTGGAGACTTTGTATTCCTAAGTCAGGCAAAAAAATTCAAGGTTGTCAATCTTAGTCCCTGTGGAACAATTTATCTAATGAGTCTTATCCCTCTTCTCCAATAAGGTACTGAAAAGATAGGACATTTTTACCATGGAGCTTAAAACCATAGTCTGAGCTAAATTCGATTTCATAAAAAGCAAAAAAACACCTGGAAGTGAGTGCATATGGTATTTCAAATTGTCTCCAATTCTATCATCCAAAAAAAAAAAAAAAAAAGAAAAGAAAAGAACTGAGATGAGTTTTTTCTCTTTTCTCATGGAAGGGGGGAAAGGGCTAAAAGGGAGAAGGAGAGAAAAAATATCAAAAGCTACATATTCCTGAACTGTTCATTAGAGGAAAACAGAAAGGAACACTGATTTCTTTACGTAGTGTGGTGCACATGTCCAGAAGTCTAAGTTTATATGTCACAAGCAGCTGCAGTGTTATATAGAATTTTATCAAATGAACAATGGGAAAAAATGGCACTATGTTTTTTTTTAATGTATAATGACCCCATCTAATAAGGAATCCCTCCTAAATCTGAAGCTAGGAGGAGCCTACCTCTTTAAAAGATAAACAGGAATTATAGTTCTGTCAATACTTTGGTTAAAAACACAAAAACAAAACCAAGCATCTATCAGTATACTATGGTGTTTAAGGTGGATCCCACAGCTTTTCAGCCTACAAAGTGCAAGTGCAGCCCATTATAAAATATTCCCTATTTAATATTAACTGTGAGATGATTTTTCACTAGGTTTTTCTCTTAAAGGAGTTCCAAACCTTTGAAAACAGTTTGTTGTTTGAGGGAAGGAATACAATAGTATGAATAAAATGTAAATATTACATCATTAGTTGTAATTGCTACAAAATTAATCACTTTAAGGATTAGCGATTTTTTTTTTCTGGGCACCAATGGCTCATGCCTATAATCCTAGCTACTTGGGGCAGCAGAGATTGAGGGGAAGAGCTCAGTTTGAGGTCAACCTGGGCAAAAATTTGTGAGATCCTATCTCAACAGAAAAGGTTGGGTGTGATGGTGGGCACCTGTCATCCCTGCAACAGTGGGAAACTTAAAATAGGAGGATTAAAATCAGGCCAGTCTGGGCAAAAAGTGAGATTCCATCTCCAAGTTAACCAGAGCAAAAAGGGTTGGAATCCTGGCTCAAGTGTAAAGTCCCTGCCTTGCAAGCGCAAAGCCCTGAGATCAAACCCCAGTACCAACCGCCCCAAAAAAGAAAAATATGTAGAGCTTTTTTCCCCTAGAAAAGTGTATGACAAATGAAATCTTTGAAGTTCAGAGTAGGTGAGCTAAGCAGTGCACACCTAAAATACTCAGGAGGCCAAGGCAGGAGAATCTAGCCACAGCCTGGGTTGCATAGTGAGTGGGTAGAACGCCAGTCTGGGCTACATATGGAGACTATCTCAAAAAAAAAAAAAGCAATTTTGTTATCTGATAGTAAATGAAAATTGGTACTCATCATAGAGTTTATAGAGTAGTAAAGACAGATACCCAGATAAAAAAAGAACAGAAGAAAACAGATACAGTGGAAGACAGACAGAGAAGAAAGGTGAAAGCTTAACCTTTTGACCATCCAGAGGGCTCCCTACAGAAGCATGAGCAGACCCGATGTCCTGTAGAGGCAGAAAAAGAGAACCAACAAGATGAAGCCAGAGCGACAGTTTTATTTAAATGAAACTTGTGGTAGCAATATTTCACACAGAGAAACTTCTAATTTTAAAGGAGGAAGAGTTTACTTGAGCCTTTAGATTTGTCTGAAAAGCTTTTTGTTCTTTAAGTTTGAGGCTACATATGGAAGTTCCAAACAGAATTAACAGACTATAAAGCAACTTATACCAGATCCACAAAATGATCTCTTTGTGGTAGTAACAGGAATAAAAACACCATTTTAGGACTTTTGCTGGTTAATGCTTGTAAGTATATATGTGAAGGAAGACAAGGGCAGTCTTTTATGTACATGGATGTTTTAATTTGACTGACATTAAGAATATAATGGAAAATGTTTGTTAGCTTCAAATAATATCAATGAAAATGTGACTACTCTTTTTATCTCACATTAAAGCACAAGACAGGAAAAACAGAAAGATATTTGAAAGAAAACTGAACTGATCAATAAGAAGACAGAAAGAGCCAGTATTACTGATGGACAGTTCTATTAGTCACCTGACACAGTGTCTGGCACATTGCACTGGCTCAGTATGACGTTGATTAAAGATATCAACACTGCTTGTCTGTGACTTGCCCCTCTACTTTTCTCAAGTATAGTGTCCACAAAGAGTATGGGGAAAAGGGACAAACAGCTGCCATTTTTCTAAGGAGTTCCAAGTATCATAGTACCTGATTAGCTGTTTCTTCTTCTGGCTCCTGGATGTTGAAGACATTTGCACTGTCCGCACCAAGGAGTCGACGAGCCATTCTTTCTTCGTATGTTAATCTCTAAACAAAATGAGTCACAAAAAATGCAAAATTAGGAAAAAAATCAGTTATATATTGCCTTATAAAAAAGAATTAAAAAATGAGTTTTGACATTTTCATACCTGTTCTCTCTTCAGCTTTGGGTAGCTGTGAATAAAAGGAGTCTATTTCCTTCCCTTGCTTCAGATTTGCTATTCACCTCCCTTTCTGGTCCCCAATGCCTAATCCAGTCTTAGGAGATGAGATAACTAATTTTGGGAGCCACCAGCTGATACAGCACAAATTTAAAGTGAATGATAAGCAACAAGGCAGCAACCACACAGAAAAGATGTGTCATTCTTATCCTTATGAAAAACAAAGAGAAAAAGACATTCAGACAGTAAAATACTGTTTAAGGGAAATGGTGTTTTCCAAGCCATTCATAGACTTTAGAACAGTCAAGTCAGCTTGAAGATCAACTGACAGAAAAAAACTGAACGCTCCTTGAAAGGAGAAGAGACTGATGAATAGGAAGAAAAAAACCCAAAAAAACAGGTGTCACTCATAGAAGTAATTCTCCTTATTACTGAAGCCGGTGTCTGGCACATAGTATACACTCAATAAATATTAGCAAATGGGAGTTTTAGACCAGTTGGCAGTAATGGTCCTTTCTGCTTTGGGGGTTTTTCCTCTAAGAGCACTTCCTTGGCTGCTGTGTGATGTAAGCCAAGAAGCAACATAATAACCCACAAGGAATGACCACACATCACATGACTGAAGCAGGAGCACAACGATAAAGGGTACTTGCCAAAGCTAACACCCATCAGCCATGACTCCACTCAGAAGCAAACTGCTTGCCCATAAGGAAGAAAATGGCAGTGACTTTGCAGCCAGACATCAGCACTCTGGAATCTGCCAAAATCATTCCACAAGGCCAGTCTTTTTCATAAGAAGTGCCAGCATTTCGGTTCTGTCAGTGGGAATGATTCCTGTACTTGGTGTTGGTTCTAAAGTGAATTATGGATCTGGGAGGAACTTTCAGAGTCCCCTCCTCGCTCAGGGGCATTTTACAAATGGGTTTGGTTGGGCATAGGGAATAATTAGTAAAGAAGTAAGAAAGTACAGAAGTTACTTCAGATAAATTTCCAAACTTCTGAATATAGATGCAAATACTATTAGAAATTCTCTAATAAGGAAAATATGTTGGGTAAATTTAAAATTTCCAGTAATTGCTGGTTGCAGTCCCAGCTAAAACCAGGAAGTGAAACAAATCAAGTGCCAAATAGCCCTAAAGTTCAAATTATTACACTTAATAAAAAAAAGACAGGGGTAGGGAGAGGTAAGAAGTAGGTGTCTGAGGAGTACACAGAGTGATTCAGTCCAGTATGTCATTGTGTAAATTAATTTTCAAAGTCTATTATAATCAGGGAGTTCAGTTTTAAAAGCCAGTTTTAAATCTTTGCTCTCTTAAAAGCCTTTTTAATTTTCTCATGGAAAATTACATTGCATTGGTGGGAGGCCTGGAGTGATTTTCACCCTGTTCCTTATAGGCAGAGATATCAATTTGATATTGATTTCTTTGCCAGAATTCCCTCCATTAGGGATTGCTTGCTACCATAAGAAGCCAAACTTACTTCACGGTTTTGCTTCTAAATCATATACCATGTAAACAAGTCTACAGAAGCCAAAAATAATAAAAGAAAAACATGTAACACTAGGAAAAGGTTGAGAACCCCACTTTCTGAAAAAGGAAACCTTACTTTTCTTAAATTCTCAAATATGGATATCTATGAAACTTAATGTTATTCATCACCAAACAGATCAATATAAATGACATACACATATACATAATATGGGTTGAATAGTAACTTATAATAGAAGTCTTAGTTCTGACCAAGCGAATCCTAGTCCATAAGGAATATTTAAATAAACAACCACAAAAAAGGCATTAGGGGAAGCTGGAGAGATGCATTTTACCTGGCTTGAAAAAATTCCTATACGTATTTGCTTTAATCTTTCAAATGCTTTAGTTGACAGAGCCAAGAAAAACTTCCAGTGTGTGTACATTTACACATGCAATCACTTATTCCAGGAAGAAAATATTTTCCTTTTATGAAGGAAAATATCTTCTATAGCCAGTGAAATGAGTAACACACAACTCATTGGAATTTTATTTTCCTTTATTAGATTAAGATACCCTAATAATTAAAGTCAGATTGAATATGCCTTCTCTATCCTTCATCTTTCCAATCATAGTCTGTTTTCACATTTTATTTATCAATATTTGATAATTAAAATTTCCAGAATACACTATTAACACTGAGGCTTTCTACTCTGAAAAAGGGATCTGGGGAGATTTCATACATGGATGGTCTTTTCTGCTACTGAAGAGCCAAGCATAATTTTCAGGTGCTGTATTTTTCACCAGATTTATGTATGTACTCTACAATTCTGTAGCCTTAAAACATAATTATTGTTTTCTCAAGTTTAGGTGTCTTGCTCTGACAAGCTGGAACAAGATTGCAGAACAGAACAGGCATTACTCTTGCAGATTACTGAATCACTATCCAGCCAGAGCTGGGTATGATAGGAATGAACTCAGCAATGGTTTCTCCAGCAATGGTGTTTTTGGGTAGAAGAAGTATACATATTAGAATCCAAACTCTCCTTGTGGTATTTGAAGTCAAATTCACTACTTTTTCATACAAACTATTCCAGGGCACACCTTCCCCCTTCTTTACCAACAGCCACCAGCCAGATGGAATCCCCATGTTTTTCTTTATAACAGTGTCATTACTCATTTGCTGTACTCTCAACCTGAATAGCTGCCCTTCCTTCTTTTCTCTTCAACTCACTAAGAAGAAGGTTGAGATTCAGGGATAATGACATTATTCTATGGATAAATCTTAAGAATCGATGCCTCCACACCCCTCATCTGTCTCAGTACCGGCTGGCCATTGTTCAGGAGGTCCTCCTTGAAGCGAAGTTTTCGTTCCAGGTCTTGAATGACAGCATCCTTTGTACCTTGAATCTCCTCATCAGAGGCTATCCTAGCAGTTCTACCGGCCTTCTTTGGAAATCCCCTGCAGGACAAAAGCATAAGGTAGTAGTACAGTCAGTTGTCAGGTGTATAAATCCAAGTCAAACCTTCAAACCCAACAAAGGGACAGTACAGTGTATCAACCTGTCATTCCTTTTCTCTCTCTGTACTTTTCTCAGGGTGCATCTGTTCCAATTAATACAGAAAGAACCATGAAAGCTGGTTTCAGTGTCTCAGGAAACACTATTTGGAACCAGTTTTCAGAGAAGGATTAGATACTTTCAAGCAGTACGTCTCAGTGGTTAGGTAAATGCCAAAATAGGGAAGGCCTATAAAAACTTAGAGAAACCACAGTGTAACATGAAAAAGTGATGTGATTTGTTATCACTTAGGTTTAAGATCCGACTCTATCTTGTATTAGGTTTGTGACTATGGGCAAGTTTCTTAAAACCTCTTATAAAATAGGTATAGAAGTATATACCACATATGAATGTTGAGAGGATTTGAAAGAGGACATCTTTTATTCAATTTTCTGATCCTTTCTAATTCATTTTATTCAACAACAGTGCTTGGCCCATTCATTCTAAGCAAATACAGGTGGAGTGGCCCTTTTTCAAAATGCTTGGACCAAAAGGCTTTTAGATTCTGAGTATATCCATATACATAATGAGACAGCTTGGCAACTGAACTCACATCTAAACGTGAAAAGTCACTTAGGTTTCATATATACCTTACACACACAACCTGAAAGAAACTTTAGATGACATTCTTCGTGGGCCTGCACTTTGACTGTGAACCATCACATGAAGTTAGGTGTGAAACTTACCATGTTGATGCTCAAATATTTTGGGTTTTGGATTTGGGGTGCTCAACCTGTATTAAGTTTGTTACCTTTTCTTCCATCCCCTTATTCCTAATATTTTATTTTATTAGAATAAACCAGTGTTATATGATATAAAGTCTTTTTTTTTTTTAATACTAGAGGGTTCTGGGAGGTCTATAGGTCTTATATATGGCTGGCAAACCCCAATCCTCCTGAACTCTTGGAGCAGGATAGGTGACACCTCAGGACCTTTTTTTCAAAGGGCAGCATCAATGCCCTGAACTATGTGTGCCAGGGTCACTGGTGCTGTGTGACTGACAGGTGTGGAGTCGCTTTTGTTGGTGCCTTAAGCAACTTGCTTCCTATTTCTCTGTCTTTTTCCTCAGAAGGCAGTGAGTAGAAATTAATGAGAAATGGAATACCATAGAAGGTGACATGCATGACCCATTATTACCCTTATTTACAACACTGAATTTCAATGATGAAATTCAAGTATATTAGAAAAGCAAATCACAGAAGAATACATAAGCATGCCTATTTATGAACAGGCAAAAACTAAATAGACCGGTGCTAGGTCATTGGTTCTCGAAGTGTGTGTGGACCAAAAGCATCAGCAAGGCTGGAGAAGTTGTTAGTTGCTAATTTGCAATCTCACTCCAGACCTGCTGAATCAGAAACTCTGGGTTGGAGTCAAGTCCTCTAGGTGATTTTGATACATGTAAAAGTTTGATACACCAACTTAGAGAAACATATATATGTGGTAAAACTATAAAGAGAAGTAGGAGAGTAAACTTAGAAATTCAGGGTGGTGGTTAATTCTTGGGGGAGATTCTATGCGGGGATTTCAAAGTTTCTAGAAATGGATAAGAATTTCATTTTGTTATTAACCTAAGCATATATCTCCTTATTTATATATTTTGTGATAGCCTATTTCTGTTTTTATTTTTTTGGGTGGTACTAGGGTTTGAACTCAGGACCTCACGCTTGCTAGGCAGGCATCCTATCACTTGAGCCACTCCACCAGCCCTTGTGAGAGCCTATTTCTGAATTAAAAAAGGTTTACTGTGTGCCTGATGTCCCTGACTGGTAAGGCAGAGGCACTAGTATGGATGTACAAAAACATTTGAGTTTACTACCTCTTGGCTTTTCATCATTTCACTCAACACGTTCCTGGGCTTCCCAACAACCATTCTTTCCACTGGTCCACATTCCTTTGTTTCCTTTCTGAATTTTCCTGATAGTGTTGAGTGTTTACCTTTCAGTGTGGTAGCTATCCCCCCACACACTCAGTGGGAGATTGGTCTAAGCCAAATTGAGTGATCTCGAGCTCCTGGGAAGGATTTGTTTGGCCAATGGCATGTGATATAGCCCTGGCTAATGGGATTGGGTCACTGAAGTGGGAATGAGACGGTGAGGTGCTCTACTTAAAGACATTCCATCTCTAGATGGAGACACCTAAAAAGTATGCCCCTTTTCTTTCACCGTTAGAAATGTAATGCCAAAAACTCCTGCATCTATTCCAAGATATGAGAAGAGAACCTATAATAATGATGACAGAGTAGAAGGACAGAGAGGTCCTGGGTCCCTGATCACATTTTAGGCACTATGTAATTTCTGTGCCTCAGACTTATACATCAGTAAACCCTTGAAACTTGTTGAATCTTTTGATACTTGTGGTGGAAAATATCCACCATCCAGGTCCATATTTTTGGCTCCTGAAGTTCAAATAAGAGCGTACTAGGGTAAGACATTAAAGAAACAAGCCAGCCACTGGTGGCTCACTCCTTTAATCCTAGTTACTCAGGAGGATCATGGTTTGAAGCTAGCCTGGGCTAATAGTTTGCAAAATCCTATCTTGAAAAAAATCAATCACAAAAAAGAGCCACTCAAGGTATAGGCCTTGAGTTCAAATTCCAGTAATCCCCCAAAAGAAAAAGAAACAAAGATCTAAAATACTGTGACATCCTAAATGGCAAATGGCTAGTCAAACATTAATTTGTATCCTTCCTCACTGGGAATTAATCTTGACATTTAGAGAGATGGGCAATGAACCTGAGGCATGTTGATAGCAAGATGTATCTCAGTTTTTAGTGCCAAGCAGTCACTAAACAAAAATGTGCATGGTTTGCTAGCTTTCCTGACTGTTCTTCCCAGGGTATGTCATCAGCCTTTTGTTTCATGTCTCCATGAAAAGACGTCCCTAAGTCTGTCCCATTAGTAATGGACCATGTTTGTTTTCTTCTTAGCAGTCTGTTATTATGTGCCTCTCTCTAACCATGGTTCTTTTGTTAACCACAATACTTGCTAACAAACACTAAAATATTTCTCAATGAGTGAATGGACGCTATCTATCTTCACTTCTGACCTCCCTCTTCTTTCCCTCTTCAGTGCCAGACACTGTGCCAGAGCCATCCAAAATCAGATCACATGTAAAAAGTCAGACTCAGGACAAGTAAACACCATATAATTTTGGAAGTTTTGTCCTGCTATGACTGCAGCCTTACTTCTGAGAAATAGAATAGTTGGGCTTTGAAGTCACCTGAAAGATAGAGTTGAAGATAGCTAGCTATCTTACTTCAGCTAACACACAGTTTCCTATTATTACTGCTCTAAGCCTGAACAACCTAAAAGGGGTGCACAACTATGTGAGGACAGAGGCATCACTGTGTTTCTACTGGTAGACTACACTGAGATCCGTGTTCTTAGCACCAAGGAGAACCAAGGGGTAAAAAAGTATGGGCAGAATAGATCATCTAAACAGGAAGAGCATACAAGTGGCGTTTTAAAGACAGTCCCAATTGTCTTGGACAATTAAACAGCTGTCTATTTACTACAGAACTTGCTTGGAAAGCATTTTTCAGTATACTTGACCCTTTCAGGGGGACTTAGAATAACTGCTCTAGAGCAGTTCATAGAGAAGAACCATCTATCTTGGTTTGGGCCCCTGCTACCCAAGTATTTTATAATTTCAAAGAGTACAATTAAGATTACTTTTGATCCAAATAAAACCATTTTACATTTCTTTTAAGGAGTCAATTCCCAAATCATAATAATATGTGTAGCTAGGCATGGTGGCACATGCCTGTGAGCCCAGCACACGAGAGACTGAGGCAGGAAGATTGAAAATATGAAGTCAATGTGGGTAAGATTCTATCTCAAAAAACAACAACAAAAAATTATCAGCATTAGAAGGACATTTATGTGATTCCTCTTTCCCCCTATATTTCCCTTTCCTTATAGAACTCAATGTACTCATATTTTCTTGGTTCTGGACAATTAAAACTGAAATAAGAATTAACCAATTGAAAAATTTGCTTAAATGTTCAATAGTCATTCCACAAATTTTATTGGGCATCTAACAGGGCACAGTGCTAAGCCAGTACACCAATGCTAATTCTGTTAAGCCTAGGAAAAAATAGGTTTCTAAGATATTTGTATTACCTGATGACACCATGAAATTCAACTGAGTATTAGAAGTTCTATGCATAAAATGAAGAAAAAGTTTCATCACTATAGTCTCAACATTATCTTAACGAGATTGCAAAGACAAACCAAGTCCTAAGGGATGGTCCTTCATCAATGTTAGTTAATGATCAAGTTGGGGGGTAAGTTAAACAAACAATGTAGTATTAGTTTTAAGTTTAAAGAGAGTAAAAATGAACTAGAAAACAATGCTGGTTGGAATGACTGCAGAGGACTCTGTGAAAGAAATAGGTACCTAAGACAGACATTGAAAGATGAGGAGGTTCACAAGTATGGAGAAGGAGAGGAAAGATCTCAGAGGCAGTGTGAAGAAAGGACCTGAATCAAGAATCTTATTTTTTTTTACTACTACCCAAGCTCCAAGGCTTGGGACAGTTACCTGACTATGTGCCTCAGTTTCCTCCTAAGTAAAATGTGGATGTTAATAGCAGTTACCTCGTGGGATTATTAGGGATACTACAGGAGCTAGTGTACACTAAACACTTGGAACAGCGCTGACATAGTAAGTGGATCTTTGAGGCCAACACAAAATATCCAGCATGGCAGAAAATCATGGAGTTGAGACTGGCCAAGGGAAACAATGAATGAGAGGAAGGAGTTTAAGAAGATGCCAAGAATTCTTGAACTGAGTTTCTATGAATGTAGATAACCCTTACTGATTGCTTTTTCACTGCCTTTTCTAGGTGCTGGGAATACAATGTTGAACAAAATTATGTCACAGTATTTACAAAAATCAC